TTCCCCGTGAACTGGTCTCTGGAGATGTGGCAGCTGTTCAGAACCATATCTGCGCCCTCGGCTCAATACTGGCTGCTGGTGCTGGTGGTGCCGGTGGCTGCCGTACTGCCCGTACTGGTTGTCAAGGAGTTCAAGAGGTCTGACGTGCGGGGGAGGGAGAAGTACGGGGGGGGGGAGAGAGGGGGGAAAGGAGTTAAGGGTTTTAGGGGGGAGGGGGGAGGGGGAAGGGGGAGGAGTTCAGCTACCCAAAGCGTGCGGGTTTGTGATTTCCGTCCGTCTCCCAATATCAATCGCCGGGCCTTATGACCCTCCCTTTTTACAGCCCCTCCGCCCGTAATTGCACAGAGAGAAGGTTTACGGGAAAACCATGTACGACGGTTTTCTCCCCTGCCCCTTCACCCCGGGGGTTGGATGCTCAGGGGTTGGCTCCATCTGGGGGCCCGTCTGTATTTGCTCGCCGTACTGCCCATACGTACCTTTGTCGTACCATGCCGTACATTGCGCAGGCTGTTGTTCCCTTCTCCCGAGGACATCATCCGAGAGATGGACGTTTTGGAGCAACGGCAACAACGGCAACAACGGCAACAAGAGAAACGGCCTTCACAAGTACAGCAACAGCAGCAGCAACAGCAGCAGCAACAGCAGCAGCAACAGCAACAGCAAAAACAGGAACAGCAGCAACAGCAACAGCATCAAAAACAGGAGCTTATACATTCACACCAACGAGATGGACAAGAACTTAGCGTGCAGTGGTCAATGGGCCAGGCGGGGCACCCGAAGGAGTTGCGCCAACCGTCAGGGCAACCGTTGCCCCAACCGTCACTCCGACGATCATGCGCCAGCAACACTCGCAGTCACTCGTTGCTCGGCAGCGCGGATGGCGGCAACAGGGTGGCGCCAGAGACCTCCGGCAGCCTTGCCGCCGCCGCCGCCGCCGCAACGGCGGCGCCGGCGGCGGCCATGGAGACGGGGGGGATCGCCACCGCCACGGCCGCCGCAGTTGCCGCTGACGGTGCCGCCAGAAGCAGCGTCGCCGCCACCTCGGCGGCCAGTGTTGCCAGCGGCGACGCAGGCAGCGGCGGCGGCGGCGGCGGCATCATCGCCGCCGTACCCAGTGCCCGCCGCTCCTTGTGGCCCTCGCTCATGTCGCTGGTTGCCATTGACACGGCAGCTGCCGGCACAGCCGCCGCCGCTGATGCCGGCAGCATTAGCGAAGCTGGCAACGGTAGCGGCGACGGCAGCGCCTCCGCCGCGCGACGGGCCGCCAGGTCTGTCAGTACTGTCGCGCCCTCCGCCGTACCGGCGCTGGCGGCGACGTCCTTCTCACGAGACGCCACGGAAGTGATTGCGGACGCACATGGCGGAGCGCCGCCGCCGCCGCCGCCGCCGGAACCGCCGCCGGAGGTCGTCACAACGCCTAACGGCTCCTTCCGGGGCTACGGCAGCGGCAGCCGCAGTAGCATCTGCCGCAGCCTGGGCCGCTCCGTGACACATGCGCGTCAGGCCAGCATGGTATCGCGGGCGGATTGGCTGCGGTCAGCTCTGTCCTCCACTGGCGTGCCGCCGCCACTTCCTGCCCGGGGACCTGGCGCCGGCGGCGGCGTCACCTCGATAAGCTCGGGTTCCTCGTCAGTGGCTTTGCTGCCGAACGACAGCACGAGCAGTGGCGGACCACTGGCGGCGGCGGCCGCAGCGGCGGGAGAGCTCGTCACACCCGCCGCCAGCGGCGCCGTCACCGCGGCCGCTGCGGTAACGCTGCCGCCAGTCAGGCCGCGGCGCACGTCGCCCGTGATTCCCTTGTCCTCGTGTCCGCGAGCCAACTCCTTGCCGCGCATTACGTCACTTCCTCCCGTGACGTCATTTGGTCCCCGGTCCCTGGCAACAAGCTCCGCAACCATGAGCATCGGCACCGCCGTCAGCATACCGTCCTCGGCCCTACCGATGCCTATATTTGCGACTGAGTTGCTGGTGCCGTCGGTTCATCCGCCGCCGCCAGCTGCGGTGGCGGCTGAGCAGTCGGCGGCGGCAGCGGAAGAGCCGCCGACGGAGGAGCCGTCAGCGGCGGCTTCCGGCCCACCCCGTGGCCTGGCGGAAGGGCGATCACCGAGCCCGGAGCCGGCAGTCATTCAGGGACCCCGCGGCGGTGGCGGCGGCGGTGGCGGCGGCGC